ATCCATATTTTAACTGAAATACTTAGACTACCTAGACTTAAGGCAGTGTCTCCCAAAGTGGGGTCCGTGGCCGGGTACTGCAGAGGTCATCAAAAAAAAGGAAATATATATAATTATTGTATGTTAAATTACAATATTTGTGTTCATTATTTGACTTGAATCATCAAATTGTAATAAACTATCCATATTTTAACTGAAATACCTAGACTAGCACCTTAAGGTAGTGTCTCCCAAAGTGGGGTCCGCGGCCGGGTACTGCAGAGGTCATCAAAAAAAAAGTATATATATAATTATTGTATGTTAAATTACAATATTTGTGTTCATTATTTGACTTAAATCATCAAATTGTAATCATTTGTGTTTTATAAAGTGGGGATGGTCATTTACATGTTTGTAGCAGAGGCTATTTCCCCCAAATAAAATAACGAGAAGAGCCTATTTATAACGTTGTCTTCTTGGTTATTATTTTGGGGGGCCGCGCAGACCCGTCAGATTTTTAAGGGGGCCCCGGTGTTACTGACTTTGGGAATGGCTGCCTTAAGGTATAATACATTATCACTGTGAACAATAGCTTTCTTCCTCTATATTGGAAAGCAATTGGATGAAGCCATAAATTGCATTGTGTGTAGTATGTGTTACCGATTGAGTGAGTGTGTCGTCAAGGCGTTCAGTGGTAACCTAGAAACGGGCGGTGTCTGCGAGAGGACTGACCTTTACCTGATCTTGATGTGATGGAGCACTCTGCATGGACCCTTTTGACTGCTGCGCTGCTATGTATTTCGTATCGCTTTTGGGGGGATTTTGTTTTTTCTTTCCCTAAAGTATTATTTGATAAGTCACTCTGGTTTCCCCTACCAACCAAAACATGCACCGCATAAGATCCTTCAGTGATGGTAGTTCCTCAGAGGAAAGAAAATATGACAAAAATGAGATCTCAATACAGACTGATTTGTTTCTTCTAGACAAGTTTGAGCCTTGTTTGAGATCATTTTGGGAAGAAGGCTTATTCCCCCTGAGAAATAGGCTGAACGTTCTACATCTGGGGAAGACCACAGCTGATCCTGACAGGTGGCCCCAGCGTCATCGGAAAGATAAAGTAAGCGTATACAACAGTCATTTGCCCCGAAATAGACTTGAAAGTAAAAGAGGGAGAAGCAATCAATTTGGATGCTGCAGAGCTGAGGTTTGACACACACCTTTGTGCATTATGCAAACACAAAGATGCAAATGAACGCTGCTCATCTGTGACAAATGTTCTGCCCGTGGCCCCGCTCCTGCTGCAGACGGGCCGAGATGTGACGATAGCTGTAGATGTGCTTTGAAGCTCTCATTGGCACCACTTTCTGCTTATTTCCTTCACACAATTTGCTCTAAAATGAATTGAAGTTTCTGTGAGACAATCTGTTCTACGCTTTTTATACATTGACTGAAGTTCCACTTGATCACGGCTCAACACAGAGTGGTTTGAGGCGCCACCTGCATGTGAAAGCCAGATCCTGTCAGACCTCTGAAGCTAAGCAGGGAAGGGCTTGGTTAGTAGTGAGATGGGATAATCTTTGGGAACGGCAGGTGTCACATTGGGGCGGCTGTGGCTGTGCCAAACTGTTGTTGTGTCCTTAGGCAAGACACTTCACCCACATTGCCAAGAATGGGGTGACAGTAGCTCAGTTGGTAGAGCATTGGCCTTTGAGCCTGAAGGTCGTGGGTTCGAGCCCACCACAAGACTTTCTCCACCGGCTCCCACTGATGTCTGCTGTGGTTGTGTCCTTGGCAAGACACTTAACCTCTGGGAACACCAGCAACAGTGGGGCGGCTGCGGCTGTAAAGTGCCAAACTGCTGTTGTGTCCTTAGGCAAGACACTTTACCTCTATTGTCTAGAATGAGTCTGGTGTGTGTATGTGAATGGTTGGTGGTGGTTGGAGGGGCCGATGGAACATACTGGTTGCCTCGCTTCTGTCAGTGTGCCCCAGGGCAGTGCTATTTTAGAAGTGAAAGATTATAATGTTATTGTTTTCTTGCACACACAGTCCCTGGCATGTATCGACGTTCTCTTTTGGGCAAATACACACCAGCTAAAGATTGTTTTATTTCTGACCACAAAGTGAAGCAGGGCATTCATTGCATGGCGCCGGAAAAACGGGCGCCATGGCAGGAGCTCTGGTGTGTATGGTGCACACTGAAATGTTATCACTGTGGGACACATTTTTCCAATGTGGTTTTACTGCAAATGGCAAATAAATTCTTGAAATATTGAAATTACCGGCACACTTAACATCCACATGTATCTACTGCCTGCAAACCCAAAGCACCTCCTTAGCTTCCAAAGTGAAAAACGTTATGCTCATCTCATCTGACTAACTTCTTTCGACAAAGAAGGACAATCATTCATTTTGTCTGGTCCGGCTGCTAAAATCAGTCCAACAAACCTGTTTGAAGGTGCATTTTTGATTAAGCCGTCTTTGACAGCCCTTCATCTACAAACAGTGTGTGTATTTCAAAGCCAATTAGCACCTTTACACACAAGTGCACTAAGCTAGCCTTGCACCATCAGCCACACTGCCCCACCGCCACGCACACTGACCTGTACCTGAGTGCTGTCGCTAATTTGGCTGAACGGACCGCAGCGAGAGGAATAATGAGCTTTTCATGACGTCCCTCCAACAGTTTTGCTCCAGTGTAACATCAGCCTTGACCTTAGTGTGACTCCTGACAAATTATATTCAGCCCTACCCCCACAAAAAAAAAAAAATGTTTTGGGATGAGACAGGGGGGGGGGATTTAAATTTTTTAGTGCAACTCCTAATCATCGCCTAACCCTGAGCTGGATATCAAAATAAATAAAATGCTATATTTTGTGTAGAGTATGGTGTAATCGCATTCAATTCATCCAGACGATACAGCTATAGAAGGGGGAGGGCGGGCGACCTTGAGTGAAGCGAGATGACGAGTGTTGACACCATGAACTGGAGCTGCTACCCGGTTCATATTACCACCAGTCTCATCAAATGGACGTCCTTTCACTGGCCTGCTCTCGCCAACTGACACATCTGACCTATCCCCAAACAAATCCACAGATAGACCACAAAGGGAGAACTCGACCAGGCTGAATTTGCATCACTCAATTTTTGCACTAAAGATGCAGGAGTCTATCAATATATAATGCATGGTGGAATGACAGCTCAACCACGGTGAGAATATTTCAAGCTACACCTTTTACAGGTCTGAGTGTGAATAATGAGCAGGATATTGATTCTGCGGCCACGCCATCGGAATATCACAGCTTTGTACAGTGATTTGCACAAGTTCAATCCATCCATCCATCCATTTTCTTCCCCTTAATCCATTTCTGGGTCGGGGGGGTGGCCAGAGCTGCACCCAGTACACAGAGCACCAGCCCCTCACTGATCCTCCTGCAGGTGGTGAGTCCACAGGAGCTGAGATCTTTCAGCGGGAGCTTCAGACAAAGTGGGGTTAAGTGTCTTGCCCAAGGACACAACGACAGCAGTCATCAGTGGGAGTCGTGAAGTAGGTCTCACGGTGGGCTTGAACCCATGACCTTCAGGCTCAAAGGCCAATGCTCTACCAACTGAGCTACTGTCGCCCCAATCCAATTCGTCCTTCAATCCATCCTTGAGAAATATGGGTGACTTTGACGTTGGTGGGAGTTCAGGTGCACTTTTAGCTATTCTTTCTTTAGAAGCATGTGCTTATGGTGGAGTGGTTAGTGTAGAGGTGGCCAATAAATACATATGATAGAGGAAACAACGGTGTGGTTGTTTGCTGCAGCTGCTCCGTTCAGTCCATCTTAGCAATAGAGTGCTCTTGAGTTTCAGAATACGTAAAACAAGCAGCCACTCCTCAACATAACACTGAACAAAGCCAAAACGTCTGGACGCAAAGTGGTCTTCATTAGTGCTGTCATATTTGTTTGCACATACATGTTATGATAAATACCATGATTGTGTATGCGTACATAATTAAGGGGTGAAGTAAAAAATAAAGAATAAATCTGCAAAAAGCAAAATCCGTGAGGTAGGAGCACTAGGTTTTAAGGCTGTAAAACCTCTTACCACCAATTTTATACAGTTTTCTAACCACTTGAACTCCCGACTTCTGATCATGTGCGATTGTGGAGATATCGAATTTGAGCTTTGAAGGTCTGAGCTGTCAAAAGTCGTGCAAACACTGAGGGCTACAAGAAGACTGAGTCATGATGGATTCCCACAATATCGTCTTAATTAATTGAAATATTAAACAGAAACTTAATGTGACTTCACGGAAGATTCATTTCCAAATCACACCCTATATCACTAAACCAGCCATCTCTTAGAACTTGAATGTGTTGCTGGCAAAATTACAACTTAGTAGAGAATCAAAAAATTGGAACACAAAAAATAAAGAAAACAGCCATTAGTCCATCGGGTAGTGGGAAAACCAATGTCCATAAATATCCATAAATGACATCCGTTTTGTGTATTATCACTTTCAAATGAATTAATTCTACATTCATATTTTCTAAACATCATTCTAACAGAATATTGTAGCGACAAGTAAGAAAACAATTCAGCCATTTAAACATCAACCACCACTTGTTTCTGCAACTGCTAGAAAGTATTGTGATGCCCATTTTAGTGCAACAAGGACAACTTTTCAATTTTTTAAAGTGTATTGTTCTGTTCCCACCTCTGACTGATGACTGCTGTCGTTGTGTCCTTGGGCAAGACACTTAACCCCACTTTGCCCAAAAGCCCCCACTGAAAGATCAAGGCTATGCTCACACTTAGAGCAGCTGTCCTCCTGTGGACTCACCACCTGCAGAGGGTCAGTGAGGGGCTGGTGCTGTGAGACTTGGGTGGCATCTCTGATTGCCACCCCCCCTGACCCAGAAATGGATTTAAAGGGTAGAAAATGGATGGATGGATGTAATGTTCTGTAAAGAAAACTGAGTAAGTCTGCAGCAAGACACCATCGGCCAAGAAGATAAAGAAGTAGAAGATTGATGGAGGCAAGAGTGTGGGAGAAAGAACAGGGTTGTGCATACTGTACAGCTGCTGCAGAGGCCTCACCTAATGGGCAGCCAGGGATGTGTGTGAGTCTGGGGGGGAAAGAAGGAGGGGGAGGGAGGGGGGCTGAGGGAAGCGCTGGAGGAGCACTGGAGGAGCACTGGAGGAGCGATGAAAAATGGGCTCTGTCAGGTGAGCTGTGCACCCGCAACTGGCTCTTAGTGTTTTGGCCTGACCACAGAGAATATAAGTGTGTTTGTGTGTGTTTGCGTGGGTGCGCACGTGTGTGTGTTGAGCATGTGTGTGTTGTGTGTGTGTGTGTGTGAATACACAGTATTCAAATATTACACAATCCTTGCCCCCAAGCAAAGATAGAGATTGCATCTGAGCCAACACATCCAAAACAATGAGAAAAATCACCGCTAAAAGTTTGTCTAAAGCCCCATGAGCTCATCTTACATCTTGCTGGATGAAAACTCCATATTTTAGGAATATGATGTGATTATCTGTAAAACAATGACAATTATCATTCTTTTGTTTCAACGTTTTTCTTCCCTCCGCAGAGTAGTTTCCGCCTGGGGCAAAACGAAAACAATTCAGCATTCGGTGTTCTGACTTTTTAATCTTTTGTTATTTTCATCTATATTTTAAGTGTTGTAAAGGCTATTGGTAAAGCAACAGGTGGTATGGTATTTCAAATCGCACATCCATGGTGGTTGCCATGGGTAACCTTGAAATGGTTTGTGGTGTCGCTTTTGAAACCACTTAACCACACATTTAGACCCAAAAAGTGCTGCAACATGTTGTTAGTGAATTACTTTTTTCACTTAAATGTTTTATTTAACCAGATTGTGAAACCAACCAAGCAAAAATGGAAAATGTGAAGTTGCCCCTTCTGTGAACCCGTGCTAATGCAAATAGTCTCTAAGCAAGCATAAAGTGTATTGATGGCAATACGCTAGTTTACTTCTCTCTGAGTTCTTCTCTCTGAGCCTGCCGCTCCTTCTGTTTGTGGATATGTATTTGCTGTATCACATCAATTATGTCTCATATGGTTTATGGCTGTGGGACTGCCTTGGTTTCTACAATCAAATGTTTACACGGCAGTAAATAAGTAAACTTTATAACAAACTGATAATATAGTGCTTGTCTTGAAAGTGTCGATGATTTCAGAATGGAGAAAACATGCCTTCTATGAAAAGCATTTTGTCAACCTTCAAAGACTAAGATTAAGAGATTAAGAGAATTTCAGTGTTGCATCACAAGTTAAGAACAGTAGGAAAGAGGAGCACAACGGCACAAGTTAAGTGAAGTCAAAGGTGAATAATACAATATGTGCTTGGTAAACACATTGCTGTCATGCATTTAATTATCTTAATATATGTTCAAATGATACAAAGAAATATATGATGTTCAGAATTTTATATCTATTCACTTTGATGCATTAAGGTCTCATTCCTTGGAAAAGTGAGCCTTTTGTGCCAGTGTTTGCCAACTGTGGATGGGTGGGGCCTGGAGGGATGCCAGGGTTTACAGGGTTACAGGTATTATGAACATTTAACCTAGAGCTTTGCCACAAATGTTTTATAATAACAATCTCCAATTTGGGTAAAAAAAAAAATAAAAAAAATAATGGACAGTATAGGTGTAACTGTGTCACGTGTGCTTATTTCTGAGACAAGGTTAGCCATTCCTTGTTTCTGTGTGTCTTATTTCTTTTGTGTTCTCCAAGTCTGTCATCTCTGTCTGTCGCTGTGTCCCTGAGCCTCAGCAGGGGGCACCACCTCACAGTACGACAGCGTAATAAGGACGACTTCATATATGCATGAGCTGTCTATGACTTATATTCCAACTACTGCTCTTTCTAATATTCCTGCATATAGCTCCTGTTAAATTCCACCCCCTGCTAAGCGGATAGAAATATCTTATAGCGTCTTTGCAAAGCCCTGGTCAATGTAGTGTTAATGGTATATAATTGGAAATGGCTGGCGGTGTAGAAGTTGCTTGCGCTGTCTAAACCTAATCCCATAGAAATCCCTAAGAGCATATTAAAAATCTTTATGCTGAGCAGTGGTTGGCAAACGGAACTAAGTCCTCGGACTTTGGGTTGCAGCAGAGTTGAAATAGTTTTTCTTTTAGAACATTGTCAACACAGATTTATTTATTTATTGTTTATTTGGTTGGGACAGTGCATGTTAATGAACACATGTAACTCCGGATTGTAGCTTTGGGGTCATTTTCATCCACTGTTGCACTCACAAACACGCACTCATTCACCCAGAACTATTGTACATGTTTTTAGCGGTAGAGGAAACTGGAGCACCCGGAGGAAACCTATATATACACCCCATATATTGAAGAAATTGTTCTTTTTGACAGGTGCGTAGAAGGTCAGTTTGCACTCAGATCTGAATCATTCCTTGCATAATTTCTCTCAAAGCTAATTGAGTCAATGTGAGTCAATACTCACATTGCCATCTGCTTTGTATTATGTGTTGAAATACGTGTGTATATATAAACGGCATGTATCATATTATTGTGAATAGTTCCGTGTGACACAAGCAAACATTGAGTTCACAAGTATCACCACATAGCATCTCTCCCTGCAGTGGCCGGCCATCTTTCTGCTGTCTTTTGACCTGGCGTGAACTGGCCGTGCTTCTTGTCCCACAGGGGATTCCAGCTCTAATTAATGCCCCTACTGCAGTGGCTTGTTAGGCCTGGAGATGAAGAGCAGGCGGGCGGGAGTCCGTAAGAGCCAATCGAACATTGATTGTATATTTGCATAAACAGCTGCAGTGGAAGAGAGCCCAATGTCACCCCCACTTGCTTGCATTGCATTCTTGAGACATACTCCGGCAAAACGATATAAACAAGGTAAGCGTGAAGAAAAGAGATGATTAGAGTCCAGTGAATGGCCAAAAGCTCCTGCAATGCGGCATCTGTAACAATATCGAAATCAACCGCTATGGTCATTGTATCATGCTCCCATTCGTTCGTCTGAAGAGGTCATAAAGCGGGAAGAAGGTATCAACAGCTTTCTTTAAAGGAAATATTATGCAAAATCTATTAAAGTAAACAAAAACTGTATGATCAGCCGTGCATAACTGTACAATGCGGCTGCAGAGGACACTGCGCTGAGGGGCAGGACAGGACTGAGGGCGAGGGGAAGACCACCATAGTCCTCTGAACTAATCACTGGGCTGCCACAAAGCTGTACCTCTAACTAAAGGTAGCTGTCATACTAGCGGTTACATGATGTTATATATGATGTTGTTGGAGTATACATAAAATTACACATGATAAAAACTCTCATAATCTCCCGATCATGTTTTGTTTATTTTTTTTTATGATGCGCATTATTTCTTAATTCAATATGTTTTTAGCCTTTCATTGTGAATACAAAATCTATGAGCTTGAAATTATCCCTTAAATTGCGCACATTGGTTTGGCACTGTGTTTTGTCGGGTAATTCCAAATCCAAAAGATGAATGTGGTTGAAAATAAGACCTTTATCATAAGAAAAATTTGATTCCTTACGTTGTTCCTTTATGTATATGGACTCGAATCCAAACATTTTCTACCAAGCTCATTCATCAAAACCAAATCGACTGTCATGAATCTGTAATATGACATTTTGTGTTCTCAAATGTGTGCATATGGTTGACCTCTATTCAATTTTGACCATAATATGTTGATCTGACAGCTCGCTAATCAAACTTCACAGTTCACATCGGCCGACAGCAGTTGGCAAACAGATTAAAACTAGATTTATTTACTGCATCTGTTGTCGCGTTCCATTTTGGTGTTGCACTCATGACAGCTGAGAAAAAGCCTCTGAACAAATACATCACTTCCATTCCAGAAAGTTGTTACTGCAAATAATTTTGTAACAAAGGATTCTTTTTTAACTATTTTGTCAATCTATTTTATAAGGTCACTTGAAAGCCGCCTGCATCTGTATCATAGCTAATATATAATTTTTACTTTAGAAGTGTTCACCTTAAAATGACTCCTTGAAAACTGTTGTATCTGCATCTTTAGAGGAGAGGCATTTTCTCTGCAGTTCTGTCCTTCTGTTCTGCATAAGAATTTGGTTTTAACCTGGTTAAGTAAAGGCTGTGTTAAAATTTGTAGATCCATTCCTCTGATCTACAGTAGCACCTCCCTCTTCAATGCTGTGGACACATAAGATGTTTTAGTGAAGAATTGAGATGTGTGTGAAATATGCCAAATCAAAAGACTTGTTTTGATGACATAATGCAGGATACAGGGAGGATTCTGAGCTGATTTATTTTCATACACTGACGTTGTATTGGCGTTCATACAGACAGAATGGACGCCAATGTCAGTGGTAGTGCTCATGGTATTGTATTAGGAGAAGTGGCAGCTGTAATACTTCAGGTCAAACCACATTATTAAATTGCTGTCATTCTGAGTTCATGAACCATAAATTGATCCTACTGTACGACTAATTCTCCAAAGCTTTTCTAGCATAACTTCCTGTTAGTGTGCATTTAGTGTAGTGGCGCAGATCGGTGTCCATGCTGAGGGCTTTGTCACAGCTGACCTATATTAGATGAAAGCAGCTGCATCAGGGGCCTGCAGGGACGGCCAAAGAGTTGTGTTCTAATTATCTCTGCAGCGGGCTGGCGGCACGTCACCACTAACACACACTCTCATAGACAGAGAGCGCGCACACGGACACACTCGAAAATCAATGGGAACCCGTAGAGCATCTGCCAGCCGGTGCTTGATGGACGACAGGCGCAGATCCTCCGTGGAAGGCTGGCATCACTACGCTGGCGAATGTCACACTGTGCATATTAAAGATCGTGGGGACTGGATCGGACAAGGACCTTCAGGAGGGATGGCAAATATCAACATGATGTTAGTCTGTTGGGGTTATGTCATGGCAGTTGTTGATGGCTCGAGCAGCAAAGTTGAAAAGTTTCTGTGTATTCCCAAAATCTTTAAAAATAAATATAATTAATTACCTATCATTTTTGGATTATTGGATGAGACAGCACAGAGCAAATTGTCAGAGCCAGACATAGATCTCGCCTCTCTCTGCAGTCGCCATGGAGTTTGGCAAATCCGCTCATTTAGTCCATTTAGCACATAACAATTATTTCATTTAGCATTTACACTGTATTACCCATCGGAACAATTGGTGCATAATTCACTGGGAAAAACTCACAAAGGAAACTATGCATTTATGCCTATAGACAATAAACCAAAAAATCAAATCGCCGTGTTTTTTTTTGTTTTTTTCTTGCCGTGATTTTTCAAGAGCTTTAATTGGATAAGACACCAAATCGCCAGAAACTCACACAAGATCTATTTCTGCAGACGTCATAGAGTTTGGATTGCAATTTCACATCACAATGAGTTTATTGTAATTCTACTTTTTGTATTTATCAGTCACAAAAACAATCGTTGCGATTGTGAATTCACTGGGAATGTCAAATAGGCTCCTCTTAAATGAGTGCTCTCAGTCTGTGTGGCTATATCAAAAGAATGATTTAGAGTCCCATGTTTTACCCAACATCAGTGTAGACTACACTTTTTACTGCTTTTATCATCACTTGTGTGGGGATTGCAGAGCCTCTCCTGTTGTTATCCTGACAGTGTGAGCGGGCTGCTGTTGCCATAGAGCCTCACACCATCTCTTGGGTTCAAAGAACAAACGAGCCCAAAGAACAAACGCTAAAATGCTGTGGGCTTTTGCATGTGTAATATTGGAATCAATGTGAATAAGTAGTTTATAGAACCCTGTGGTACTTTGGCTCACATTCTAATCTTTCTATAATACTCGGGAGCATTTAGGGGTTTTCATATTACCCACTGAATCAGCTGGTTCCTCTCTCCTGCAATAAGTCAGTTCCGGTGCTGCCTTTAGTGTTATAGCAAGAGTATGCTAATTTATGTTTTAGTCAGTTTGGTTTGTAGTTTTAAGTCAGTGGCTGATTCTGTTTATAATTTGCTTTCTTTTGACTTTATGACTATAACAATAGAATACAAGCAGTTGCTCCTGTCAAGTCAATGCAGTTAATAGTTAACAGTCGATAAAAACTGCAAGGCTGGAAAGTTTTTTATTACATTGTGCTTATTTTTGCTGACTCGTGAAAAAAAGAGAAGAGTCGAGAAGATTTAATTAATACCTAGGTACTGCAGATGAAAAACTGCTAATTTGTTATTTTATCTATGAATCATAATTCTTTTGTTTATCTATCTTATTTGAATGGAACAGTGCACTTTGAAAATGGGGTACTTGTGCACCACGGGACATGTGAAAGCTAGATCCTGTCAGAAGCTAAGCCGGGCAGGGCCTGATTAGTTCTGTGATGGGAGAGCTCTGGGAACACCAGGTGCCACAGTGGGGCAGCTGCGGCTGTAAAGTCCCAAACTGTTGTTGTGTGCTTAGGCAAGACGCTTCAACCACATTGCCGAGAATAAGTCTGGTGTGAATGGTTGGTGGTGGTCGTAGGGGCCAATGGCACTGTTTGCCTTGTTTCTATCAGCTGTGGCTACAGTAGTTTATCTCCACTATGTACGGAGTAAATGAATATGTGAAGTGTCTTTGAGTGTCCATAAAAGAACTATATTGTTCAGCACTTTGAGTTGCCTTGTGTATGAAATGTGCTATAAAAATAAACTTGCCTTGCCTTATATATATCATTTTTTTCCTTACATAATCCATGTTGCAAATGATGCTGTCGTCATTTTATCTTTTGCCTACTTTGAAAAAAGAACCCTGTGAATCCCTTTTTTTCTGTTTAAAAAATCTTATCTAAAGCAGTGGCAGAAGCCAAAAATACATGCATGTGAAAAGTAGTGAAATAACCAAACAGTTTTAGAGCCGGAGGCTAGTTACATGGATTGTATTTACACATATATCGAAGAATACTTTGAAGTTAGAAACCCACTATAACAATCTTACAGCATCCTTTGATTTATTTCAAACTTTTGGGGAAGGATTGTCGCTTTTCCTTGACTGATGTGAGATGTCCTGTTTGCAGAGTTTGCCGAGTTCAAGGCTCCTCTCAGAGTGACTGGGAGAATTTATTCAGCCGGCTTTTCCTTCCTGAGAAAAAAAACATGGAGCCCTGTTTCCTGATGGCACTGTGGTAAGTCCAAGCATATTCTCGCACACAAGCAACACTGGCCCCTCCTCACTGTGGAAAGTAAATCATTGTATTTTCTTACACAACCGACCTTGAAATGTATCCCCCAAAGGAATGCGTCAGAGTTCCCAGTAGACCCACTCCTGGATTAAGCGTGTCACTGAAGCGGCGCTAAGGAAGTGGGGATCAGACGCATGCCATCAAGCTGTTTCTCAGTGTTACTCGTTTGATTCTCATGTGGAGGAGTCTTTTAAGCTTACATTCACAATCATGGCGCTACAGTAAAATCAATATTCATGGAGCTTTTGCGTTGAATGTCAAGGAAAGGGATGCAGCATGACATTTTATAAATTGAAAATAATGACAAGAAATCCTTATGTTCCAGCAATTCCAAACAAACTTGCCATATAGTAAAACATGCTGTACCAATGTGTGGTCAAAGAATGCCAAGACCAGGGAAAGTTTAGCAGAAATGAATCTTCACAGCTACTCCACTACGAGAAAATGTTTCTTACTGTTTTGCCGATCTACAAATGCTGCAGACTGTAGTAATATAAAAATAGGCAGACATGTGCGCTGCCCAGTTGTATTCTTATTTATAGTTCCTATCTCTTTTTTTGTCTTTCTCACTGTCCCTTCTTTTTATGTGGCTCAACTAAACATTGGTTTTCAGTATAACACACTATATGCCAGGGGTCCCAGACTTGGGCCCCAACATAAGCAGAAAAACAGACCTGCAATCCCTTTTGAAAATCAAAATGACTAAAATGACTATTGCTGCTATTACTGCAAAATATAGTGCTGTCATTCTCTGAAATAATCCCCAACCAGCACCATGGGATCCACTGCTTTGTACAGGCCACAGTCGCATTTCTTCTTTCTAATAGCAACCAATAGATAAAAAATGTGATATGTATTTAAAATTAATTGTCATAAGAGTTACCAGTAAGTGTTATTATTATTATTAATAATATTATAATTATTAATATTATTACATGAGTATTATTTGTAGTCGTATAATATAAGTTTTTCTCTTTCAGTTCCAACCTTGCAAATACTCCATACATTATTTTGGTAATGGTAATATCACTTTTGCCGGAGAAAAGCAAGGTTTCTAAAACAAAACCAAAAGGGCAATGCCACTCAAATTAGATATCAAAAAATGTTTTATTCAATGACATTTCAGCAGTACAGCCTTCATCAGATCGAGTCTTTTCTCTTTGAACCATAATATACACAAATCACGGTTTTATTCACCTTTGTTCAATTTTGCTTTCTCTTTTTGCTGCATTTTCAGGTCTTTTTCATGTGTCACTCATTCAGAATATTGTGTTTCCTATGGGGTGAGATTTGAGCCACAATGATTCATCTATGCAATAAAAAAAAAAACCTGTATTTATGGATTAATTCACGGAAAATCTAACTTTTGTTCAAAATAAAAAAAAAATTTAATAGAAGTTGCCAAGTGACCAAGTGCTATTGGCGGGATTACTACTGTTTCAATGGTTCAGAAAACACTTGTTATTCTAGGACAATGGGCAGAATTCACATTGAAATTGATGATGCCACAGTTCAAGGAGTTATTCAAAATTTCAGAAATGGTTGCAATCTTGTGAGCAGTTCCACATCCTTTGGCTATTCAGAGTCTCATTGTGTTTCCTGGAGGACTTAGACAGACAGACAGACTTCCCAATGGCTCCATCGACTGCACTATTTGTGAGTCTCACTTTCCGCATGTGGGCCCAGGTCACTGCTGTCAACGTATTCTTTCGCAGTTCCGATTTTTCAAACGGCATTCTTCTTTGTGCTCAGCGGTGTAATGGAGTAATGGGAAAGGCTCAAAAAGAAGCTGTGGCTCCCTTCAGATTTTGCACTAGAGAGGAGAATGATAATGTTCAAAGATTTCTTAGAGAGAAGAAAGTTGGAGTTCTTGTGATGTCTCGTTTACAGGTTTTGTGTGTGTGTGACGACATAATTTATTTATTATTCCTAATTAAATTAAATGAGGGGTGTATGCCAACTTCTCTGCTCATCTCTACGGAAACCCATTCTTGAAATATTCCACAATGTTTTTATGTTTTTGTTTTATTTAGACTGTGCATATTCATGTAAATACACTTTTTGTAATAGTAGCTATGTAGTCAACCTCCATCTGTCGTCCCACATACACACTCATTCAACCCTCACCTATCACACATGGAAACCGGAGCACCGGAGGAAACATGCACAGACGGGGGAGAACATGCAAACTCTACACAGAAAGGTCTGGAGGTGGAATCGAACCTTCTTGCCGCCCCTACAAGTGAGACAAGACAACTACCAGGTCAAGTTATAGATACATTTGAGGAGGGGTCCTTGGCATCCTGGTTATATCAAATGATGATATAAATCAATATCATCATTTATATCTGCATTTTTAAACAAAAAAAGATAATGTTTTTAGGCATGTCTTCTTGTATTACACAATTTTCTTAGATTATTTCGATGTGACTCCATAGTGTATATATATATATATATATGTATGTATATATGTGTTTTTATTATATTCTTAATTATTATTTTGATGTTGTTTGTAATTGTTTTCCCATTGAGCTTTCATGTTGTTGTTGTGTGTGCGTGAGTGTTGTATAGTTTGTGGCCCTGTCATGATTTTCAACTCTTAAACTATTAATTGGCAGGGGGCAGTAACATGGCTTAACATCATATTAAAAGAAAACAACCACGTCATTTATTGCATTCTAAAAGTTAAGTATATTTTTTGTTCCCGATAAAACATGCATTTAACATCCCTGTATTAGATGAGAGAAACTGGAAAGCAGCGATAGCTTCATTACAAAACATCAATCAAGTGAAGAAAAACTGTTCCCTCAAATTGCTTGAACCTTTGGAATTCATATTGACGTGTTGCGGAGGCATTGTGGGAGAAAATTATTGACAGTTTTATTTTCTCTGCAATCAAATCACATCAGTAGCCATTGAGTACTGTATACGGCCTATGCGCCTAACGACTTCCAAAGCTTTGACTTCTATTGTAGAATCCTCGGCCAACAGTGCGATGCTTGAAATGGCTGATTTTCTGCATTTCTGATTTGTCGGTTCCTGTCCAACTCGCTTGAGTCTCTAATTCTCTGTCAGTGTCTGTCTTCTACTCCTGTTGATTTATGGATATCTTTTATCAATTCTGAAAGCGAGGCTCATCTGTTCCGAACTTCCACTTGTCTCATATTCATTCGGTGGTGAAGTGCATGGATTGGGGGAGGAATTAAGTGTATGTGTGTGTGTGGTGTGTGTGTGTGTGTGTGGAGTGTGTGTGTATGTGTGTGTGTGTGTGATGTGTGTGTGTGTGTGTGTGTGTGTGTGTGTGTGTGTGTGTGCGTGCATGTGGAGCCAGAGCCAGCCAGTGGATCAGCCTTCATATGATTTAATCAAAGCAATCCATCACATCTGGATAATTAGACAGCAGCGTAGATCGTAAACCTGAGCCTATTGCTTTAAGCTGTTTTCTCTCCGTGGAACATTGTCACAGTGAAACAGAGAGAACTCCTACATAGTGGTCATTGGGATGAAAACGATTTGAGTTTAAAGAGGCAACACCAAAGAGCAATTACATTTTGCTTATATCTTCTCTGCCTGCCTTGTGATTGACAGGATTTTCTTGTGGTGAATCTATATTCTATTGCAGTATAGCTTAGACTTTCTTGGTTGGTTTGGCAGGGTCAGTAGTTTTGGTAAAATCTCTATTGAAGAGGCTTTACATAGATTTTACTCCAATTATGATAATTACCCATTCTGGAGATGATACACTGCATGCACAGATTAGCAGTAATCCTGCAAACTTGAATTTTAATTACATTAACTCTTAGTCACTCGCATCTCCCTATACACTTCTAATGATGACTCAAGTTTACATTGATTTGATGAGGGTGTGTGGGCTGGGATTTGTGGCCTCTCCTGGGGTTTTAAAATAACAAAGAATAATGAACGTGTGTATATCCTAATGAAAACCAGCCCACCATGTACACTTCTGTTGTACAGTATAAGACGAACAGTTTCACTAACGAAGTGTGCTTGTGTACTATCATTTTGATAATAGAACATGTTCAGCCTCAAGGCTGGTTATAGATTTTGTTGGGAAAAAAGGTGTTCTTTCTATAGTATAGTATAATAACAACTATAATGTTATAAGCATCTGACTGTTGCCAAGATACAGATAAATTCTGTCTTTGCTCTATAAAGTTCAAATATAGTTTACGTTAAAAGACACAATTATTCTTTATGTCTTGCTCAAGCAGACACAAATCAATCAAGACTCTCTAATAGGTCACTCTGCGACCAAACAAAGGTCTGGGAATTTGTCTTGGCAAAAACAAAAGAAATATGAATAACATGTGTTCTGATAAAATCTTTCATATCATTTTATTATCATTGACATTCACCTCCTATTTTAGGATATTAACGATGTGAAACATTTACTGTTTGTATTGAATGAGAAAAAAATGGGTTTTGCAAATATGCAAAATGACTTGGAAGAGTTTCATAACATTAATTGGGTAATAGTTAAACATAATGCTTCATTATAAATTTTCCATAAATGTTGTAGAAGCGAGTTTACAGCTTTGGTCTGGAAGTGCCTCAATATTTTGCTTCTGTTTAGTTGGTCATCTTTCGAAGGTTGTCCGTCTTCATGTGTGACTATGCTGCTAATCTGTAAACTTTGGACCAACCTTATAACACACTAAATCACTATATCATATCAAATCTTTACTATGCTGTCAAATAATCACAATATTCTTATGTGCTTATTTGCAATAATGTCATTGAGTTAATCTCAATTAATTGCAATTTTTTCCCTATTCTAAATTACTTGTGATTACTGATGGTGCCCGGAAATCATCAGTGAGCGTGACTGCTTTTGTTCTCTCCAACATCTGCTGTACCTACAGTACACACCGCACACGTCTGTAAAAGCAGAAAGGCTCACGCAGCGTCATTTAAGTGAGACGCTTCTCAGCCCAAAATATAAACCACACATATTTTTGCAGTGCTGTGACTGAACAAATACATATAGACTTGTGTGAATAGTTATTGACACTAGATGGACTTCAACACATGTATAATACAACAGCAAACACCTTTTGCTGCTGTATATCAGTCCTCTGCCTGCACCATCTTCTACACTTCTCCATAGACTTTACAGGAGCAGCAGCAGGAGTCGCAAGCCTATTTTGTTTTGTTTCCGGCCTAGCTACAGCTACATCCAAAATGTGTTTTATTCTTTTTGAATTCTTACTTTTTCTATACTAGTTGTTGCAACGGCATGTGAGAATAACTACAATGTGTGCTAGGGCAAAAAGAATAATTGTTTAATAGAAATATAATTGTTCAATAGAATTGATGTTAAACCTTGTTAATAACCCCGACAGCTCAAGTTTAAATTATATTTTTAGCATTGTTCTACTTTTACATGAATTGTGTTGACGCTTGTGTACTGTATATCTTTAAGCTTACACTACATTGACTCAGTTCAGTTCAAGCTTATGATGAATGTTCTGAATCCAATGTCAATTCCAACCATTTCAAAGTCACACATGAGATTATAAAGTATATTGTTGCTACCAGGGCAAGAGCACAATAATTAAATGGAATGAATGTATGTTGCAGCCCGTGATGCTGAGTGATTGATGGATGTTCTAAATGTGGCCTTTATATTATAGAGCTGTAGTGAAAATAGCCTTGTTGTGGTGAATAAGGAAAAACAATGTTAGATTAAAAAAATATGTTAGTAGACCATCTGTCTTACTACTGAGGCTTTGCAGCATGCATCTCAGGTGTGAAAGAACAAATACATTTTAAATGTTTGCCCTTTTCCAATCTTAAGCGTTAATGTTGAATTATTACTTCCAACACTGTTCAGGACACTTACTGTATATCAGCTACAGTGGCACTAATTACATCACAAAAAATAGACCATTTTATATTCTATAAAATAAATGGATCTCAGAAGTCCTGTGAGTGACAGGGCACTTTGGAAAACTCTCGGCTTCATATTCTGGTGTTATCAGTGCGCTGTGACACCATAAGCCCTGCTGCCTTCATTACCCCTCTTTCAGGTGGTAATAATGGGTTTGGAAACACAAGACAAAGGCATGAATATAATATACATTGGAAATTATATTATATATAGCAGCTCAAAATCTATCTCAAATATATCTAAGTTTTGTGCCAATGCTACATTATTGTCCCTTCTTTGACCAGAAGAGTAGCTCTGAGATTTGTGTGTATTTATGTATCTTTTTATTTTATTTTTTATTTGATGGACAATTGTACACAATCAACATGTGAAACACTACAACATTTATAGCCAGGCTAACATATATTTATTTATTGTATTTATTCATTTGGAACACAGTGAAGCGCTTTGGGTGACCTTGGTTTGTAAAAATATGTTATATAAATAAAGATTACTTACTTACTTATATACTTAAAGCCGAGGCATTATATAACATAAATTATTATAATGGTTCAAAACTACTATCACTCCTTTGGTAATTTAACAGCGAGTCAGACCAAAACAATACTTACTTTAAATACTTTTAATGTCATTGACGACTCTGTTCTTAGGCCGCATTCAGACCGCTGACGCTGGAAAGCACTTTCCATGCACACTAGACGCAAATTCTCTGAATTTCAGACGCTAGGGGTGTTCAGACCAGAAGTCCTAGGCTGCGGTGGCACCCGGCTGCGGTGGTGCCCGGCTGCGGTGGTGCCCGGCTGCGGTGGCACCCGGCTGCGGTGGTGCCCGGCTGCGGTGGTGCCCGGCTGCGGTGGTGCCCGGCTGCGGTGGTGCCCGGCTGCGGTGGTGCCCGGCTGCGGTGGTGCCGGCTGCGGTGGCGCCCGGCTGCGGTGGCACCCGGCTGCGGTGGTGCCCGGCTGCGGTGGCACCCGGCGGAAGTAGAGGAAGTGCTTTGATGCTAACAGAGTTAAGCTAGCGGCTTTTTGTGTAAAGTTCTTCTCCAATAATGCAGCTCTGCAGCCTCTCTGTGTCCAGGAACCTTCCAGAGACTTTTTATTCAGTATTTGTTCACGGAGGTGCTCCATACGTTTATTTTTTATTATTAGACGGTACTTCCGCATCGGCGAACATGCTATCTGCGCTAGTGTATTGTCACTGGAGAATGACAACTAAGGCTGGAGGCATATGTTCACAAGCACAGAGTCCCTCATTGTCAATCCTGGTTTAGTCCTGGTTTAGCTCCTGTTTTTGCTGTTTACGAGTATTTTCATTCTGCTCGCTAGGCCGCTAATGTCCCCGTGACCATTTTGTCGCTCTCTGATTGGTTGCTTCACGAGCGTTCCGAGGAAAAAGTTCAGCAATGTTTACCTCCTGCGTGCGTCGATTTTCCGCTCCTGCGCCTTTGCCGCGCAGTCCGTGCGTCTTTACCGCGCAGTCTGTGCGTGCATCCCGAGACGCACATACAGTTCCACGCTCGAACGCGCGCTCCAAGTAACTTTGCATTGAAAGTCGCAGCAAGGCATGATCCTGTCTGAACGCGGCTTTATTCTTACCATATGAACTCTGCAGGAAAGAGAGTTTTCTTCTGCTACATCTTTATCAAAAAACTTGGTGAAAGTATGTTTAACTTCTCTTCCATGATCACACAGTGTGCTTGAGAGGCGTGAGATAAGATGAAATTAGAATGTTGCCGTTGTCCAAAAGCAGAAGTGACATTACTCACAGACGGCTGGGTGCTGAGTCTGTTAAATGATAATGACATTTGATTAAAACTGTGGCAAATGTGATCCCGTCTTTCTGAACGAAGCCATGAACCTGTTACAAAGCAATATAGCAGAAGTGAGACAGCGGGAGGACAAGGTAATGCCGGAGAGCCATGTTTCATAAGGTGATGGAGTTTTCTTATGAACACATCACAGACTTGCAGCAAAATGTTAACCTTTACAGTAACTACGTCCATATTATCCTTTGTCATTGCGTTGCCTTTGCCAGCCGCATCATGTCATTTAAGTGATGGAGTCTAGTGAGAGTTCTTGGGTTTTGCTTGTAATAGCTTTAGCACTTGGGATAATGGTTTGTAATGCACTGGCGGCCGCTCTGTGATGGCCAGTGGACACACTTTACAAGAGCAGAGCACCAATGAACTGGACGTGTAATGAGTGCAGGGGAAAACAGAAGTGACATTGAAAATAGAAATCCAGACTCGGGGTGTTTGCGGTTCCAAACATAACCCTGTCGACCTTTTGTGTTTGTGAAAATCTAGTGCTTAAACTAGCACTTTATTTCACAAACAACCATTTTGTAGAAAATGTAATTGGATTCAAAATAATTGTCACATGTGGGGCTGAGAAATGAATGAGACATTTGTAATTGTTAATTATTTATAGTTTAATTAGAAGAGACTCAGACAAAGTACGCATACGAAATATGGTTACTGAGTTATGTTTGCATGAAGTAAACTGGTTGCTGTGTGATTTGGAAAAAATACCCATCAGAAAAATTCTATGTTATATATAGGAGGAACTATAAATAGTGGTTATGAAGATGAAATTCCCTCGAGGTTTAGAACTTGTTGGCAGTGGAAAATGAAGTGATGAGCCACTGATATTATGGAGGAAAGACTCACTGTTTAAGTGGTGATGGGGAAGAGAGGGGTTGCAGAACGAGCTTATAATGATACTAGTATTCCAGTCTAAGCTCGCTTCATTGCGGTGAATATTCTGTCAATGTTAAATAGCTTTTATTACATACATTAAGATTAGGGATGTGCATTGTCTTGTAATTGCATCATGTATTAAACATAGGTCACATGGTCTAAAATTGATTTGATGAGATTTCTCAGATGTACATTTGTGTGGCGCTTTAGTACCATTTAGCACATGCACAAAAGCAAAGAAGAAATTCAATGAAATAATACAAATTATGATTAAAAATGCTTTACTGAACAACAAAACTAGATTATCTGTGCATGCAAACTGTGCCACCACAATGACTTAAAGCACTCATTGAAAACTTGTTTCATGTGAATATCCACCATTGTGTAGAGATGGTACATTGCTTTACCGATTGCAGACTTTTTAGCATAATCTTATCAACATGCATTATGCACTATGACTTGGGACTCCTACATTTTTCCTCCTCCTCCTCGATGAATTATAAACGAAACCCATATGTATGGCCTTGTAAATCTAGATCACCAACTGTGTGCTGATGGAGGCTTGCTGGCCCAGAATGCCCCAGGGCTTTCGAGGCGGGCGGGCAGCTGAATGTGAGGTCCACCACTTTTTGTTGTTTTATGTTTGTTTCAGAGACTTCCAGAGATCCATATGTTCCCTCAAACTTATGTCATCCCTTGATCATAACATTTCACCTTGCATAATCCAGTAAACTCAAGGTCTACAACACTTACATGTCTTTTAGCGAGCCCCAGCCAGAAATTGCTATTCGATTCCAAAAGGAGCCCTCCACCGTAGACTACTTTTCTATTCTGAATTCTTAATACCTGTTGGTGAATGTGTGTGCTGTCAAAATCATATTCAGAAAGTGGTGACTTTTTATTGCCTGGCTCTGTGAGGGCCTCAGTATTTTTCCCTCATTAGCGATGCATTAATGAGACCAACCACTGACCTTGGCACATTCACTCCACTAGTGTGTTTCTCATCATTAGTCTTTTTCAAGCCTTTGTGAATGTAGCGAAAATGCATGTTAAGTCTAACTGCTGTGTCTTGGATATGATTCGGTATCTAAAGACTTCTTGTTTTGCCTACTATGACTCTGATTCAGCTGTGATGCCCCATATGCCACAGACACTGAAGATATTTAATAAGAATTCCCACCACTTAACAGAGCCTGAAAAGTTTCCTAAATAGTGCAACTTGTTAACAAAAGATTTTTCCCTTTGTTACATTTTTTCCGCATTACTTCGGGGAGGACAAATAATTGTTGCAGATGGTTTTAATACATGTTAACACAATACAGTGGTCCCTCGCTTATTCTGAAAAATATGTTTGTTACATTTTCTGTTACATTCTAAAAAATTACCAGCAATAAGCAAAATCTGCAAAGTAGTAGTTATATGTATTAAGGCTGATATCTAACCTGTTTGTTGTGGGTCTGAGTGCTGCTGCAGCTGTCAAAGGCCGTGCACAGTAAAATACAGGAGCAGGACTGAGGGCTTCGTGATTCACACATGGTGATGACGGACGCGAGACACCGAATACACTGGTGCATCAAAGCCTCCGACCAAACACCATCCATTCACTCAATCATACCTAATGTACATGTTTATAGTGGTAGGGGAAACTGGAGCACTTGAAGAAACCTACGCAGGCACGGGGAGAACATGTAAACTCCACTCAGAAAGGCCCGGGATTTGAACTTAGGACCTTCTTCCTGAAATGCAAGAGTGAACTCAGCCATCGTGCCGCTCCTCAATTAAACACATGATGAACCCCGTTAAAGCGGGAGACCACTATACTACGCTTGTTGAATATTTTCTAATTTACTGTTTTGAAAAAGGTTATATTTTCTGTCTTTGCTTGTGACCTAATACCGATGGTGGAAATAGACCTTGTTTGTTCAGGCGTGAGGCCACTTGCATTTCTGTGTCAATGGCTCAAGTGGTTTCAGTGTTCTCATGTTTGGAGTCCCATGCCTGGAGTGATCAGGCCTTGACATGATTGTGTCGGCAGTGTAGATGAGAGTTGCTTTTTGTTTGTGGATATGTGCTCAGAAATTCATTTTGACGGAGCAGTCTCGGTGCAGATCTATGGAAGCATATAAGGACGCAGCGAACGGCCATAGGAGACACTGGAGCTTAAGGTTTGTGTTTTTGTGGATGTGGACGATACTGGTTATGTTTACAAATGACAATGTTTGTGTTCATGATTGATTGTAAATAATCATGTGACATTCTCCTGTATTCTGGATTCTGAAAAAAATTTAATTGTACCTTTGATGCTGGATCCAGGTGGTTCTTTCTCCCTGCTCAACTTGTCCTTATGCCCACTTTATGCTGGGAATGGATGGATGGATGGATGGACAACTCATTTAAATGTACTTCCCGCATAATTAACACATAATACAGTGGTCTGTGACAAAATCAGGTGTGAATCGGACATGGACATTCATCAAAACTCATGGACATTGGTCATCTGCACCTTATGGACCAATGCCAATGTTTTTTCTGTTTTATTTCTTGTGTTTGAACGGTTTGATTCTCTGATCTGTGTTGGTAAATTCAACGGTTGTGTAAAGTCCTCCGAGATAACTACTGTTGTCATTTAGGGCTATACAAGAATAAATTGGATTGAATGTAATTGAATTGAATTGAATTGAACTATAATCGTCACCAATAATCACGTTAAGGTCATGCTTTTACATGCTAAGCAAAGCAATAACATCTCCATGTAGTCAAGCATTGAACGATTTATTCCAAATGTGCATATAAAGCAATAACATTATTGTTTGATTTTGTTAAAAATCAACATTTCCTTTGTAATTCAGATCAATTGGACAAAATTGATGTTGGTGTTTTCATTATTCAACACATTAAAAAAACTACTTTTTCATCAACTTTCTACTATTTTAAATCACGCGGGTGAAACATGAAAGTGCGAAGTGGAAAGATGTGGTGCTGTTGGGAGGAGAAGGGCAGCTCAAATCAGTCGTTGCATTTCTGCGGATGAACAATGATTGCTTAAGAGTGTCTAAAGTATGATCAGACGAGCTGAGAGGAAAAAGAGCCGGAAGATGAGACTGTGGAGTCTTCTTATAATCAACACTTGAGCTGCTTTTAGATAATTCACTTCAGTAAACAGGATGCCAGAGCTGCTATTCTGATTGAACCCATTTCACAAACATAGTCTACATGATGTTATCAAAACAATTGTTGTGACATAATGTGACATAAACAGATAATCACATGAAAGAAGGAAAAAGAA